GGTACCCTCATTATCACTGAATTATACGTATTTGCGACGTTATAAGCAAAAACGGACATCAAAACAGGTGACGCTAGGTAGCTAAAAATGCTAACATTTTTACCTTGGCTCTGTAGTCTCTCCAAAGTGGTCTTCAATGGCACTACAACGATAAAAACGCTGCTGAAGTTAATCCATAGGTTAATCTAATGTGTTTTGTGTCCCTTTGAAATGATTTCTGATAATCCATAAGCATTAAAACTGCTTTTCCGTTTCCAGATGTCAAAGCTAGAGATAGGTTCACTCTGATGCTAAATTACATGCGCGAAGCCCCCACCTTTTCTCTTCATAATGAGTGTGTGTGGCGGCCTCCCCCTTCGATTCTATTGGCTCTAACGGTCAGAAAGAGGTGTCAACCATCAAAATCGAGCAAGGGGGGCCAGAGATATGGAAAATCCACCCAAATGACCCCAGAGGTGGTTTCTTTTTGCTAAATCTCTCTAAAAAGGTCAAATGTCACTTGTTTTGCATCAATCTTGATACAGGGTACTTATTAAATGTTGTACTTTGGATTCCTAAAGCTTTTAGTCTACTAACCCATCATCCAAGGGTGGTTTTCACTATAAGTAAAAAATATTTTTTGGACGGACACTATAATTTACAGTTTTTACTATGTAAAATCTGAATTTTCTTTAAAATAAAAAACATCTATATTGATTCTGACTTGTCTACATCCAACTCACAGGTTTATCATTACTTTGAGAAAAAAGATTATTAATTTAACCCTTTTAGAAGGGAAGATATGGTCATTTGTTCTGGGAATGTCATTTTCGAGCCTGAGACCTGAAAAACAGGCTCAGGGCTTAACAGGTTAAGTGAATAATAAAGATATTCTGTTGAGGAAGCGGCTGCCTTTTGGTTGCTGATGTTATCGTACTTTGCTCCATGTTTGTTGTCGCTGTGCCGCTGTCACTTGTGTTTCTGCCACTGTGAGAAACGGCTGATATTAAGACGCTTCAGTGTGCAGTTCACAAAACAAGAGGCATTATGGGACATGTAGTTGTTCTAACATACTTCTAGTAATCTGGTTTTAACCTCATGATAAACTTCTTATATTCTTTGTGAGCTTTCGCCTTGAGTTTGACACCTCTGGTATAAAGTGTATTTTAACCTATTAAGCCCGATGCCCCCGCCGCCGGGGACAAAACACAACAATATTCACAAAACTGTGTCTCAGGGCTTTTTAACATTTAACAACCTATTAATTTGTCATACCCACTTAACGGGAAGAAACTCAGCTAACTGACGATATGAACCATTGTTACCTAAACAAAACAGAACTCTAACGCTAAGCGTCTGAATTAGCACTAAGCAAAAGAGTGCTAACGCACTTAGCACATAACTCACGGTAGCAATCTTTTATACTTCATGCAATCTGCACAAACTATATATTATATGAAAGCTGAGATTCCACAGATTCCAATGGTATACGTTTCATCACTGTGCGACCAAAACTCGCCGCAGCGAAAGCAAAACCAGACAACACACAACTTCACTTTTTGGGGCCAAAACAGCAAATACGTCTTATCTTTGCTGTTTCTGATCAAAAGTTGTGTTCAAGGGCATCAAAACGATAAAAACGCTGCTGAAGGTTAATCCAATGTTTCTGTGTCACTTTGAAATGAATACTGATAATCCATCATAACATTTATGGCAATAAGAGTAGTTTTCATATAGAGTGTAACATAGCTTTCGGTTTTGGGCAAACTGCGTGCGCATCACTCTCAATCCTCAATGGTAACGTGTAGGTGGATTTAGGAACCTCCCCTCGATTCTATTGGCTCTAATGGGTCAAAAGAGGGGTCAATCACCAAAATCGACCATTGGTTCCAGAGATCTGGAAAATGCACCCAAATGACCCCAGAAGTGGGTTTCTTTTTTCTAAACCTCTCTAAAAAGGCATCAATCTTGATACAGGGTACTTATTATATGTTATAGTTTGGATTCCTAAAGCTTTTTGTCTACTATCCCATCATTCAAGGGTGGTTTTTACGGAGCCCCCTAGGGGACATGGAGAAGAAAAAAAAAAAGTTTTGCGAGATCTCGCAAAACTTTTCATTTAGCTCAATGTACTTCCGGGTCAGTTCGGCAACACAGAAACCACAACAATGGAGCGGTTCATCGATTTTACTTTGAGCTTGGCCTTAAATATAAAGACATAACATCAGTGCTTGGCAATAGGCACGGGTTTCACAGAAGTGAAAGACACCTCAAGAGAACACTCAGAGCGAGGGGACATGCACGTCGCAAAGCATACTCTGAGCTGAGTTATTGACAGATTCGAATTTCGCGGATCAATAACTCATGAACATAACGTTGTAAAAATACAAACAACATGACTTTACAATCATAGCAAGGTAGACAACGAGCTACAGAGTCGTTTTAATCAGAACAGTTCGATAAGCGCCGTCATCCGAGCCAAACATCAAGAATTGGTCACAATCTGCAGCTGGAGGAGAGAGGAGTGAGTGCTTAGGGACCGTCTACAAACTGCAGCTGGAGGAGAGAGAGGAGTGAGTGCTTAGGGACCGTCTACAAACTGCACCTGGAAGAGAGAGAGGAGTGAGTGCTTAGGGACCGTCTACAAACTGCAACGCCGAAAACATATACTCATAGAACAATTCAATAACTTGATGTAGTGCTACCAACATCTCTTAAAGCTCCCATGTCATGCTTTTCCGGTTATTACCCGTCCCCTTGTGTGTTATGAAGGTTTTTATGCATGTAAACGGTGTGCAGAGTCAAAACCCTCAAAGTACACCCTGTAGCGAGTACAACTCTAACACAGAAAATACCTCCCCAAAACGCCTCGTTGGAGATACGTCACTGCCCATTTGATTCTTCCGGGTACCGCCTGATGTCATGCGGTACCCGGAACGAAATGGACCAATCCCGAAGAGCTATGGCCACACCAGCAGCGGCGTGTTCCTCCGCCAGAGGTTCGAAGAACCGGCATTTCACAGACGAAAGCTTCCAAAACATTGCCCAGTTTGAGGCCGGATATGCACAGCTTGTTTGGACCGTTTGGAGCAGGGGAAGATCTGGGTATACAACCTGTAAGTTTGCATTGTTATTTGTGTATTTATCAAACAAGACTGTTTAAATGTGTAAACTGTGTTGGACTGCTAAGCCATTGACACAGTGCTAACTGTGCTAACTAAGTTGCTAGAGTTTCCATATATCAACTCTAATATCAGCAGATGGCCTTACATGTTTGTCATGGCAGGAGAATGTCTGCATTCACACACACGGAATACTCATACAGTATACTGTACTGTGATTTACCGTACATTGTGACCGTACATATACTGCATGTAGCTAACGAGGCTAGCTGTATGCTAGCGCAAAACAATGTATTCATGCAAGTTACATTGTATGGTAGCAGAATACCCGTATACGATTGCAATTATAAACACATTATTGCTAGCCTAATATGAACCACTAGCTTTTGTTCATAGTAGTTTTATTACACTGCATTATAGTTGCCTTTCCTCCAAGCTAACGTTCATATCGTGTTAGCTACCAAGGTAAACAAAGCTAGGTTAGCATATTAGCAGGCAAGCTGTTCATTACACAACTACTACTAACGAATCTAAAACAACTAAGTTTCTCTAATATTTTGTGATTTGCATTTGATTTCGTCCAGCCAGATCCTGGCGGACAATCCATGACGGGGAAGGGATTCTACTACTACTGAGGCCTCGTGCTAAAAGGCACCGCACCGACTGTGCGTAGGCAAGATGCGAGGAGGAGGAATGGATGATATACCGTGTATATATGTATATTTATGTTCATTTTGTACATTTCTAAAAATAAAGTTTAATGGAAATACTTAGTAGGCCTATCCTTTCTTCCCTGAATTCATATATAGCAAACCATGATTTGATTTCTCATCAAACAGTAGTAGTTTATAACGGGTAAAAATAACTTACTCTTTGTTATGAGCGGCTCGTAGGCCACAAAGACAAGGAGACATACACGAGTTTACAAAACCACGGCACATTTATTGTGGTAAATGCAAAGATAGGTGGTTGAGAGGATCGCAGAGTTAGTCTTCCTGCAGCCGCTTTGGAGAGAGACTGGGGCCGTAGTGTCCGGAGGTGTCCGTGATCGTGCTGATTAGCCTCTTCAGCTCCACCCCATCGTAAGACAAAGGCCCTGGGGCCGTCACACTCTTCTATAACAACAGTTAAAAATATATATGTATATAAAATATACGGCTGTGCCGACGCCATGATAAGACTGATGTTACGCTGAGAGCAGCCGGGAAAAGCACTGACATGGGCGCAGCATCTCTGGTGGTTGACTAATCAGAACAGAGTGGCCGAGCTGACCAATCGGAGCACACTAGGCTCACAGGGAGGGGGGGGCAAGAGCTCCAACGAGTCGTTTAGTGGAGAAAGTGAATACTGCTGAATACACATGCTTGACAGAGATGCTGTATGCGAAACCAATGTGAGTTTGGAAAATTGCACAGTATAAATCTATTTTAGTATACCTCAACAATGTAATTATGATCAGTGGAAATGGCCATGACATGGGCCCTTTAACACATCAATGGTTATGTTGTTGTTACAGTATAACACTTATTTTTGAACAAATATGCTTTTAAATATTTTTCAGGCTTTTTTATTACATACTATTTTAATTTACTTTGACATTTTACAATACAGTGCAACCAAACCCCTTTCACACATCAATAGTACATTACTGCTCATACTACATCAGGGTTGTCCAAACTACGGCCCGGGGGCCAAATGCGGCCCGAGGGCCATTTTGAATCGGCCCTCAGCTCCCCTAACCCTAACCCTTTTTTCTTTGTTTGATTTGTTAGAAAATGTGGGCTTATTAACACGTATATACATATATATTCAAGAAGTACAATTTGTTTCTCTTCCTGTGTGTCTCATCCTCTTCCTGTGTGTCTCATGTGTGTCTCATCCTCTCTCGTTGTGTCTCAGTGTGGAGACCCTGGAGGGCTGTGAGATCCTCTTGGGCCCTGAGGTGACGTACGGCCCCCCGGGCCTCGACCTCTCCGTCCCGCTGGCCCTGACCATCGCTCACTGCGCCGAGCCCGACCCGGAGAACTGGAGCGTCTCGCTGAAGAGGAAGACCCAGGACAGCAAATGGGAGGTGAGAGCGGGGATGCTTTATACACAACCTTAACCCTTCTCAATCTCAATCTTTAGTTAGACCAGGGGGTCCAGGGGGGGTTTGGTGAGGGGGGGGGGGGGGGGGGGGGGGGGGGTTTAAGGGCGATATTGATTAGCGGATCATGAAAGACACGGCACGGTGAATTCAGATGTGAGCCAATCAGGAGGAGACGCATGAGGATTGTTTCTCTGCTGACCACGACACTCCATTTTCCTCATCGCCTTCACACACACACACACACACACACACACACACACACACACACACACACACACACACACACACACACACACACACACACACACACACACACACAGGCACCACACACAGACTCTTTAAAGTAGAGACACTACATACTGATATACACCTGAACATCAGCAGGAGAGGACTCTTTAAAGTAGAGATACTACATCAGGGGTCACCAACTACATTTGTCCAAGGGCCAAAATTAATCCAAGAGACACTTTCGGGGGCCAGAGATTTTTATATATATATTTATATATAAATCATAATAAATTATATATATATATATATATTTATATATATATATACAATTGATTAATATGTTCACTTTATTGAAAAAAGAATCATTTTTTTTATAAGCCTGTATCCGGGGTAATAAAACTGAAAGCAGTCCTGATTGGCAGGGAAAGGAATCAACTTTTTTATTAATACCGTGTCCTGATTGGTGGGAAACGGTTGCAGGATATGAGAAAATTGTTTGCCAGGCACGCAAACATTTCACTGTCAAAGAGCCTCAAGCGTAAAGTTGACGTGGAAAACCGCAGTTTTAATGAGGAATGGACGGATAAATACGCATTCATCATGCCATCGTTCAATAAGGCTACACCTGTTTGCCTTATCTGCAATGAAACGGTCGCTGTTGCAAAAGTGTACAATCTCAGGCGTCATCATATCGCAAAGCATGCAACTTTCTCACTCTTTTTCATTTTTTTTTTTTATTATTATCTTTTTTTACGCCACAGTCGCCCCCGCCGTGCGGGCCGGATGTGGCCCGCGGGCCGCCAGTTGATGGTCACTGCACTACATACTGATACTCTTTAAAATAGAGACACTACATACTGATATACACCTGAACATCAGCAGGAGAGGACTCTTTAAAGTAGAGACACTACATACTGATATACACCTGAACATCAGCAGGAGAGGACTCTTTAAAGTAGAGACACTACATACTGATATACACCTGAACATCAGCAGGAGAGGACTCTTTAAAGTAGAGACACTACATACTGATATACACCCTGAACATCAGCAGGAGAGGACTCTTTAAAGTAGAGACACTTCATACTGATATACACCTGAACATCAGCAGGAGAGGACTCTTTAAAGTAGAGACACTACATACTGATATACACCTGAACATCAGCAGGAGAGGACTCTTTAAAGTAGAGACACTACATACTGATATACACCTGAACATCAGCAGGAGAGGACTCTTTAAAGTAGAGACACTACATACTGATATACACCTGAACATCAGCAGGAGAGGACTCTTTAAAGTAGAGACACCACATACTGATATACACCTGAACATCAGCAGGAGAGGACTCTTTAAAGTAGAGACACTACATACTGATATACACCTGAACATCAGCAGGAGAGGACTCTTTAAAGTAGAGACACTACATACTGATATACACCTGAACATCAGCAGGAGAGGACTCTTTAAAGTAGAGGACACTACATACTGATATACACCTGAACATCAGCAGGAGAGGACTCTTTAAAGTAGAGACACTACATACTGATATACACCTGAACATCAGCAGGAGAGGACTCTTTAAAGTAGAGACACTACATACTGATATACACCTGAACATCAGCAGGAGAGGACTCTTATAGTAGAGACACTACATACTGATATACACCTGAACATCAGCAGGAGAGGACTCTTTAAAGTAGATACACTACATACTGATATACACCTGAACATCAGCAGGAGAGGACTCTTTAAAGTAGAGACACTACATACTGATATACACCTGAACATCAGCAGGAGAGGACTCTTTAAAGTAGATACACTACATACTGATATACCCCCTTAATAACAACAGGTTACCCGATGCCATGATATATTTTATAATATTCCTTTTTGGCAGAAACAAGAAGTGATTGATCCCTTTTGAGCTTTTCTGCCGACATTTTGTTTGCTAACGGAGGTCTTACGGCCCGTCCACACAGCAGCGTTAAAAAATCTTGGAACGCTTCTGCCCATTCACTTTGAATGGGATGACGTCACTTTGCCTCACTTTTCGCCGAACTGCATTGTGGGAAGCAGAGCGGAGATTTTCAGGATTTTCAGGATTCAAAAGTTGAGCAATGTTCAACTTTTGAAGCTGAGGTGGAAGCGTCAGCCAATCAAATCCTGTGTATGCAAATCTGACAGTTCAAGCTCTAGCCAATCAAACGGCGTGTATGCTGGGAGAGACATACCGCAGGTCATTTCCTCATATTCCAAAACATGGAGGAGAAATGAGCGGTAGGGAATCACCCGGTGCTTTATGACCAGTCCCTATTTACCTACCGGGATATAAACCGGAGGAGCCAGGCATGGAGGGAGGTGGCAGAGACAGTGGTAGGTTTTCGCCTGTTTGGGGAGTTTATATCCAGTTTACTTCAAACTTTTTTGCTTCGTATGTCGGGGGCGGGAGATTCATGTGATTGGTTGTTGATGCCTTGCTCGCAAAAAATCCCCAAGCTTCAGATACGCCCACCTCCAAGATTTTTTTAACGCTGCTGTGTGGACGGGCCGTCACAGTTTCGATGTTTTCTCCTTTTGTGATCAAGCTCATGTTTACCTAACGTTGCGTTTCATAAGCACAGAAGCGCTGCTCTTGTTTGACCAAGAAAAAAATATATTTTTCTATTCATTGCAAGAGGTCAATTTCTCAAGATGTGCCTGCGCTGCGAGGCAGGGATGTGAATGAAGTCAAGATTCATGTTGCTTTGAGATATCGCTGTAATATTGAACGGCTCAGAAATAATGACTTACCATCCAGCCTCGAGTTAGACAGAGAAGCACAATATCTACAGATGCACAGAGCCATTAAAACAAAATGTAAAAATGGAAGGAAAGGAACGGATTGTAAAGTAAAGGAAAGGAATTTGAAAGAGTTGGAAAGGAAAGGGAATGTAAAGAAAGAGGACGAAATAAAAAAAGTTGGAATGAAAAGGAATCGGGAAGATCCGGAAAGGAAAGGAAACCAAACCAAGGGAAGTAAAAGAAAGGATTGGAAAATAAACGAATGGAAAGGAAAGGAAAGGGAATGAAATATAAAGAAAGAGGAGAAAATAAAAAAGTTAGAATGAAAATAATTGGGAAGGGTTCGTAAAGGAAACGAAACCAAACAAAGGAAAGTAAAGTTGAGGACATTAACCTGTTACGCACCGCCCCCCGGTACCGGGCGGATAAACGTGTCATTTGCAGGAAACAACGTCTAAGGAATCTTAATATTTAATAAACTATGAATGTTTTATATCCATGTAACGGGAAGAAACTCAGCTAACTGATCTTTTTCATTTTTTTTTCCAAAAAAAACCCACAATGCTAACACTAAACGCTAAAAGAATGTAACCTAAAACTGCACTTAAACTCACAATAACTCCCTTATTACTTATCCTAGATGCACAGCCAACCACTCGTTTTTGGTGTCCTGGAGACACTGAATCTGTGTAAAAAACCTCAACACTCAGTGATAAACATTTGCGAAGCTATAAACGAAAGCGTACATCATAACATGTGGAGCTAGGTAGCTAGAAACGCTAACATGGCTTACCTTGGTCAAAACTGGTCTTCAATGGCATTAAAACGATAAAAAAACGATGCTGCAGTTAATCCATAGGTTCATCCAATGTGTCTGTGCCTTCTTTGAAATGATTTCTGATAATCCATAAGCAATAAAACTGCTTTTTCGTTTCCAAATGCCAGAGCGAGAGATCGGTCCACTAAACTGAAATGTACATGCGCACAGCCCCCACCTTTTCTCTTCACAACGTGTGTGTGTGGGGGACTCCCCCTTCGATTCTATTGGCTCTAACGGTCAGAAAGAGGTGTCAACCATCCAAATCGAGCAAGGGGGGCCAGAGATATGGAAAAAAAAACATTTTCACTCAAATCACCTCAGAGGTGGAGTGGTTTTGGCTAAACCTCTCTAAAAAGGTTAAATGTCACTTGTTTTGCATCAATCTTGATACAGGGCACTTATTATATGTTGTACTTTGGATTCCTAAAGCTTTTAGTCTACTAACCCATCATCCAAGGGTAGTTTTCACTATCTGTAAAAAATTATTTTTGGACGGACACTATAATTTACAGTTTTTTACTATGTAAAATCTGAATTTTCTTTAAAATAAAAAACATCTATATTGATTCTGACACTTCTAAATCCAACTCACAGATGTAACCTTGCTTTGATAAAAGAAATTATTCATATAACCCTTTTAGAAGTTAAGTTGTAGTCATTTGTTTTGGGCATGTCATTTTCGAGCCTGAAACATGAAAAACAGGCTTGGTGCTTAACAGGTTAAAGGAGATGTAAGGTGAAAATAAAGGATTGGATAGGAAAGGATTTGAAAGGAAAGGAAAGGAAAGGATTGGAAAGGAAAGGAACGAGTTGGAAAGGAAAAGAAAGAAAAGGAATGGAAAGGAAAGGATAGGAAAGGATTTGAAAGGAAAGGAATGGAACGAGTTGGAAAGGAAAGGAGAGGAGAATCTGAGAGGCCATAAAACCTTCCTGTTCCTGGTGAAGATAATGAAATGCTTCCCGTCTGCTGCCGTCGCCTCATAAATAAAAGGCTCCGTCTTGTTCATAAAGACTGTTTTGTGTTCTGCGATGTACTAAAACCATCACTCATGTAGGAAATGCTTTTCATATTCTCTGGAGACGGCTTACAACCGGTGTGTGTTTCCGCTGCGTGATTTAAACCAGAGTGATGTTAGACACACCGTTATTCAGCAGCACCAGAACGCAATACATGATACACACCGCTGTGAGTTCATTTACACACATCTCTACTCACATCTGTGCAGCTCTGGGCATGAATATTTACTCAGTGTGCTACTTTCAGTGTGTACATTCATGTGTCTTACACTCTGTTTTGGTACAATCTGAGGCTTTACTACAGGGGTGTCAAACTCAATTTCATCACGGGCCACATCAGCATTATGGTTGCACTCAAAGGGCCGGTTGTAACTTTAAGACTATATCATTAATTAATATAACTTCATAATTAACTACGTCTGAAAGCAGAAGTCTAGAGCAAATAATTGCAAGTCTCTTCAGTAAGAATGTCACAATATGATTTTAAAAGAAAAGCCACATTCTGGAAAAACCTTGATTGTGACATTTTGAAAAAGAGAAGTGACATTTTGAAAAAAAATGTCAAATTCTGAGAAAAAGTCAAATTTGAGATGCATTGTGGGACATGTCGTTTATGGGCAACGTGCTTCTGTAAAGTAGCATGTAACCATATAATAAACATATTATATTCTTTGCAAGCTCTTGTGGGGCCACATAAAATGAAGTCGCGGGCCGGATTTGGCCCCCGGGCCTTGAGTTTGACACCCCTGCTTTACTACATTACATACCTCCCTGAATCTTCCCTGGATCTTCCTTGGATTATTTCTGGATAGTCCCAGGTTTTTCCCTGAATCTTTTCTTGATCCTACCGGGATTTTTCCTGGATCTTTCCTAGATTCTTAGTGGATATTTTCTTGGATCTTCCCCAGATATTTCCTGAATATTCCCTTGATCTTTCCTAGATTCTTAGTGGATCTTTCCTGGATCTTCTGGTCCATCTACCGCATCCATTGGGTCCATATAGCATGCATTTAACTCTACATCCCAGCATTAGACCCTGCATCTCTGCAGCTCCGGGCATGAATATTTACTCCTACAATAAGCAGAATTGTGCTACTTTCAGTGTGTATATTCATGTGTCATGTGGATACTTAGACTGATTACAATAATACTTAATAAAAATGTTAAGTATTCAGAAAAAGTCAGAATTTTGAGATTTTGAGAAAAAGTCAGAATTTTGAGAAAAAGTCAGAATTTTGAGAAAAGTCAGAATTTTGAGAAAAAGTCAGAATTTTTAGATTTTTTGAAAAAAGCCAACATTTGTAGAAAAAACTCAGTATTTTGTGACAGGATGTATGATTACCTAGAAGAATCGGTATTCCTCCATCTTGTGACTGTAACTCCCTCTCTTGGATATCAGCATGTGAAGGACACTGTTCAGGAACTAGTAGCTGTGATGACTACTTTGATTCTTGCAAGGATAATAAATACATGGATCCTGAGATTGAAGCTCAAGCCGGTGACGAGTGATATTTCTCTAACAACTTCTTCTTCTTCTTCTCACTTACAGGAAGTGATGTCGGTGGAGGATGAGTCCACTTCCTGTTACTGTCTGCTGGACTGTGGGAGTGTGCACCTGCTCCTGGATCAGCCGGGATCGTACGCTCTGGTTGGCGAGCCGCTGACTCAGAACGCCGTGAAGAGGCTGAAACTGGCTGTGTTCGGGGGTCTGGAGGCCATGAGCTACATCCTGAGGGTTTACTGTGTGGACGACACGCCACACGCCTTTCAGGTGAGCATCATTATAATAACATCATTTATTATAATAATGAATAATAATACATTTTATTTATAAAGGTGCCTTTCAAGGCTCTCAAGGTCGCCATACAAGGTATATAAAACACAAAACACAAAACAAAAGTCCAAAAAACACGACAATATAATCAATCAATAAAAAACAGAAAAGCAGAGGATGTGTGATGTGATCAGGGAGGATATGCCAGTGTGAAGAGACATGTTTTGAGACGTGATTTGAAAATGGGGAGAGAGTTCTGGATGTCGGGTACAGCATCTATTTCAGTTCGCTGTGATTGGAAGAGGATTTGAGCCACGTGAAAAAAAGGGAGATTTGACAAAAGTGATGTTTTTGTTAAATTCGGGGATTAAAGTCAGATTTCTTAAGATTTCTGACTCTTTCTCAAAATGTTATAAAAAAAAGTTTTTTATTTAATTCTGATATAAATTTCAGAATTTCATCTCAGAATTCTTACTTGTTCTCAGAGTTCTGAATATTTACTATTTTCCCAGAATCCTGAAAGTTTTTGGTGAATTTAGTTTTTCCTCATTATTCTGCAAAAGGCGAAATTGAGATTTCTTTCTCAGAATTTTTTTTTTGTTGAAAATATAGATAATTTCTGAGTTTAATCTCAATATAAAAAACATAATTTTTCGTCAGATCTAAGAATTCCCATCCGGCCCTAACCGTCTTCCATATACATGCATTGCCACGATGCATTGTGGCAAATCATGACATGAAGTTGCAGAGTAAAGATTGTATAAGCAAATGTTCAACATATTTTCACAGTAATGCTTGAGTGGGTGTTTGGGATTAAATGTCTATCAGTTGAATAGAAGCAGAATTGTTTCACTCTGTAGAGTTGGTAGTGTGGTAGACTCTTGGATGTATAAAGAGTACAGAATACAGCAATAGAGGCGTCGCATGAAGCAAAAATCTTTCCTAAACCTTACATGGATCTTTCCGGAATTTATACTGGATTTTTTTCTGGATAATCCCTGGATCTTCCATCTTTCTTTGATTATTACTGGATTTATACTGAATTTTTCCTGGATCTTTCCTGGATTTATACCAGATTTTTTCTGGATATTCCCTCGATGTTCTTTGGTTTTTCCCTGGATCTTCCCTGGATCTTCCCTGGATCTTCCCTGGATCTTTCCTGGATCTTTCCTGGATCTTTCCTGGATCTTTCCTGGATCTTTCCTGGATCTATACCGGATTTTTCCTGGATCTTCTTCTCTGGTTCTTCCCTGGATCTTTCCTGGATCTTCCATGGATCTTTGCTGGATAGTTCCCTGGATTTGACTTATATCGTTCCAGAACCTTCCCCAGATGTGTCCTGGATCTTACCTGTTTTTTCCCAGAATCTTCCCTGGATCTTCCTTAGGTCGCATTCACACCAGCCTTGTATAGTCCGGTTGAATCGAACCCTGGTGCATTTAGCCGCTTGGTGCGGTTCATTTGGGTCGGTGTGAACGCAGTCCGAGACCTCTGAAGTGAACTAAACAACTGGACTCTGGTCCGCCTAAAAGAGGTGGTCTCAGACCGCTTGCTAGTGAACGCTGGAGCGGTTCATCGCTGGTGTGAACGCAGTCCGCACCAAAATATAGGAAGCGTAGTATTTACGTGTCACAAGAACACAGATGTTTTTTATTGCACGTTGTCTGATTATATAATAATATGCGCCGTCTGCTAGAGTCCATTGATATGTTCTCCAGATTAACAACAGCATGAAAAGAACCTGCCGATGCTCCATGGCGGAGGCTCCGGTAGAGATTTGCGTTTTTACTTCTGAATGTCTGACCAATGGTTGAACAGCATTTCCGTGCACATGACTTGTGTTTAAAGTGTATAGTCCGTTTGAGTTTTGCCCGTGTGAACGCAAACCGAACCTTCTGCAAAATGAAACAATGTAACAAACTGTCGTCTGGTGCGCACCTGAAAACGGACTATTAGGTGTGAATGTGACCTTAGATTCTAAGTGGATCTTTTCTGGATCTTCTTGGACTCTTTTCTGGATCTTCTGGTCCATTTTCCGCATCCAATGGGTCAATAGAGCATGCAATCAATTCTACATCCCAGCATTAGACCCCACCTTCAATTATGAAGCCTTTCCTAGCATTAAGCCACGCCCCCGGTGTTAAACCCCACCTCCAAACACATCCGTCTCAGTCAAATAAATGGAGGAGACAAACAAAATGTGTCCGCTGATTTACTCTCGTCTCTTTTCCAAAGTAAGTCAGTGGGCCTCATGGCATCACGTTGCTTCAAGGCTCGGCTCATTCTTGGGGGGTCGAAAACACTGCCATGCAAACCAACCAATCATTCTCTCTTCTAAGTCTTGTTTGACTTGATTATCCTCCAGCATTGAGAACTGATCTGTGAACATCAGGGATATCGAGCCTCCGCCCCCCCGGAGACCTTTCTCTATCACTGGCAGCTGGCTGTAACATGCTCTCTGGATTTACTTTATGAATTTCCAGGCTGCCGGGCAGATGCCAGACTTTAGTTTCTCCCCTGGGCTGCAGCGTGTCTCGCTGTGTGTTTTATCACACCCTGATCCACAGGAAGCAACACAAACAGGGTCATGATTTGCAGACTTATGATCTTTTCTCAGATGCTGCAGAAAGGCTGCCGTCTCTTTACTCCCTGTGCATCACTAGGGATATTTTGGGACTTGACATGTTTAATCTGTCAATCATTTCAGCTATTTTAATTCATAACAAATACAAATGACAACTAAAGCTTTCAATCACTTTTGAGCTTCAAGGCCTTAAAATTGCACTGAGAAAATAGAAGGTCAATCGGAGGAAATGTGGCCAAAAATTGCACAATAATCCAAAATGGCAGACTTCCTGTTGGTTTTACGATATGCCACCAAGTGGCTTTTTTTTTGTCTCCCCAAGCTACACATGCCTACTAACTTTCAGACCTGTCAGAGAATCCACAACAAGGGGCTGAATTTGAGCAACTTTTTAGTGGATACGCCCTGAGCATAAGACCCCTCAAATATCAATATGAGTCAAATTAATATGTTTACGCTCACGTTAAGGCACTCAAAAACGTTCAAATTCAATTTGCCAATAATATTAGTATTGGTGATTCATTAATTTAGGGATTTCAATAGCTCCACATTTCTGGGTGCTTGGGCTTGAATACAAATCTTACAATATACAGAATTTTTAGTGGTTTAAATACATTTAAACAGTGGCATTATGTTATAGAAACTGGTATCTAAAGAGTTAACAGTGTGTAATAGAAAGGACTGATGTTGGTTAAAAGATTTAAGTGAAGTGGAAAATAATGTTAATATTTAATGGCAGTTTTGACATTAAAGGTGTACCTCTTCAACAACCTTTTCACATTTACTGCATATTTATTTCCTCCTGATCTCATCATGTTTTCTTCTCGCTTTGATATTAGCTCGTAGCAACAAAGACAGTTAAAAACTAGTTGTTTAGGAATGGGTTAAAATAATTTCTCTCCAGCAGCAAGTCCATGTCCAAGGTCAGCGTTCAGCGTCGGAGACACGATGGACTCCTGCAGGAGATTGATCAGTATTCTGCTGGCAGACGTTCAACTAAATGCCACAAGAAATACTATTCACCTCAACCTTTAGCCTATAGCCGTTAGCCTTAAACATTTAGCCTTTAGCATTTAGCCTTTAGCCTTGGCAACAAATGTTTTGACAATTACCTGAAGTCCAACACCTCACATTTTGTTATTGAACTTTTCTGGATGTTTGACATTGCATCTAAAAACATAATTCACAGGCGACAGAAAACTTGCATCATGGTAGCTGCGAATATGTTAAAACCAACAACCATAGACTCTTTGTAAGTAATGAAAGTATAGTCACCATTATATTATCCATTGGTTTGTAGAATACAGCTTCCAAATTCAGTATTTGGGTTTAAGTTGTGAGACATATACAAAGACAACAGCGTGGTAGCGACATGTCATAGGGAGGCGTGTGGCGCAGTGGACTAGTGCGTTGGTGTTCGGATCAGAGGGGCCCAGCTTCAAACCCCACTGCAGTCAGCATGTCGTTGTGTCTCTGAAGACACTTCACCCCAAATTGCTCCTGTGGGGATTGCCCACAGTATTGAGTATGTAAGTCGCTCTGAATAAAAGCGTCTAACAAGTAACATGTCATGTAATTTCAATGGCAGTTAGACAGGTCGCTACCGTTAGCACTTAGCATACTCTGCTTTATTGTCTATTTCACTCAAAATGGGACCATAATTCAATACATGATCATCATGTTGTGTTGAAGAAGACTTGAAACTAAAGATTAAGACCATGAACTCATCAGGAGAATGTTTACCGAGGTAATAAATCAATGGAGAAGTCGGGTCATTTTTTCATAGACTTCTATATAATCTGACAACATGTTGCCCCCTGCTGGATATTTGAGAGAATGCAGGCCTTCAACATTAGCTGCACTTTTTCACATCATCATAAATCATAGTTAGCTACATGCTAGACTATATGGGGAATCTAAAATATACAGCTTCGTCTTGTAGCTCACATGCTAACAGCTATAGCCACATGAGGTATGGGGAAAATAAAATAAAACTACAAGAAAATGTGGTAGGAGCGTTTTTCCCCCATTATAAATTCACATTTTCTTTTAGTGATAGGCCTACTTTAAATGTTGATAATGTAGAAACGCTGGAGTCTTCTGCATGCTGCGGAAGGTTCACATGTTTTTGGGCATCGATTGTAGTTTTCCAACTTCACGTCTGAGTGTGTTTTGCCTCAGTTTGGAGACAGATGGCTCTGAATACTGTGATCCCCTCGTGGCTCTGCACACGTCACTGATGGAGAACTGGAGAGAACAGACAAAGGCAGATTGTAAATGGAAGTAAACAGAATGCCATTATTGCGGAGGCATCCAAATTATAAATATGCCTTATAAACCACATAAAGAATTTTACTTTGAGCAGCTTTTGCCAAGAAAGATATTCTGAGATACTCTTAAAAATGCCATCAGAACCAAGGCCGTAATCTAAACAAATGAATCATCAAATGTAGTCGTGCAATTAGATTTAAAGCTAGGTGATTGGTTTTCCATTTTATTAAATTGAGTGTAAACATAGAAAGGCTTTTAATCCAAACTGAATCTTTTCTACATTTTTCAATAAATAAATAGTACAAAGATGTGCGAGCAGGACTACCAATGCTAACTTTTCACACAAAATGGCGGGGTGAGAACAGACAAGTTGGATTTTGATGTGTGCGTCTATTTGTTTTATAGGTTTTAGTGCATGTAAAGGGTCTGCAAAGCCTAACATCTCTCCTACAAGCTGCAGCTTTCTAATATATATTATCTTAATAGTTATGACTGTTTTAAACAATATTTAACGTTACATTCTGTTATTTTATCTTGTATTCTATTTACATGTTACTTGGTCACTTTCAACATTCTCTGCATCATTTAGCTTATTATTTATTCATGTTCTGACATGTAGACTGGTCTACCAACATCACCTGCACTATTTTATTCAAATTGATCGTACTCTGTTTCATTTGCACCATTTATCACAATTGTATGTCCTATATATAATATGTTGCTCTGTTGGAGGAGCTCTGGACATTTACACTCTGTTCTTTTATATTGTATTTGTGTGTACATCCTCTCTGACTCTCTCCTTCCTCTCCCTCCTTGTTTCCTTTCCTCCCTCTCCCTCCTTGTTTCCTTCCCTTCCTCTCCCTCCTTGTTTCCTTTCCTCCCTCTCCCTCCTTGTTTCCTTTCCTCCCTCCCCCTTCAGGGAGTGGTGTCGGTGGAGAGGAGTCGGGGGGGGGCAGCTCCTCGAGGAGCCCAAGACGTTGCCTTTCCTGTCGAACACCTTCAGCCTCCAGGTGTCCATCCAGGATGTTCCTCAGTTCCTGTGGAGCATCAAACCCTTCACCACCTGTCAGGTAAACAAGAACAAGATGTGAGAGTGAAGTGTTTCCATCAGGAGACACACGCTGCAGCTTCAGAAAGGATGCAGATATAAAAACACAAATGTTCCTCATGAAGAAACATCTTCAGCAACTTGACAACACGTGCAGCTTTTAGAGAACATTCAGCACCTTGAGGAGAAAGAGTGACGCACACAGCTGGGAGACCAGGGGACACTAAAGAGTGACGCACACAGTTGGGAGACAAGGGGACACTAAAGAGTGACGAACACAGCTGGGAGACCAGGGGACACTAAAGAGTGACGCACACAGCTGGAGACCAGGGGACACTAAAGAGTGACGCACACAGTTGGGAGACAAGGGGACACTAAAGAGTGACGCACACAGCTGGGAGACCAGGGGACACTAAAGAGTGACGCACACAGCTGGAGACCAGGGGACACTAAAGAGTGACGCACACAGCTGGGAGACCAGGGGACACTAAAGAGTGACGCACACAGCTGGGAGACCAGGGGACACTAAAGAGTGACGCACACAGCTGGGAGACCAGGGGACACTAAAGAGTGACGCACACAGCTGGGAGACCAGGGGACACTAAAGAGTGACGCACACAGCTGGGAGACCAGGGGACACTAAAGAGTGACGCACACAGCTGGGAGAACCAGGGGACACTAAAGAGTGACGCACACAGCTGGGAGACCAGGGGACACTAAAGAGTGACGCACACAGCTGGGAGACCAGGGGACACTAAAGAGTGACGCACACAGCTGGGAGACCAGGGGACACTAAAGAGTGACGCACACAGCTGGGAGACCAGGGGACACTAAAGAGTGACACACACAGCTGGGAGACCAGGGGACACTAAAGAGTGACCACACAGCTGGGAGACCAGGGACACTAAAGAGTGACACACACAGCCGGGAGACCAGGGGACCCTAAAGAGTGACGCACACAGCCGGGAGACCAGGGGACACTAAAGAGTGACGCACACAGCCGGGAGACCAGGGGACACTAAAGAGTGACGCACACAGCCGGGAGAACAGGGGACACTAAAGAGTGACGCACACAGCCGGGAGAACAGGGGACACTAAAGAGTGACGCACACAGCTGGGAGACCAGGGGACACTAAAGAGTGACGCACACAGCTGGGAGACCAGGGGACACTAAAGAGTGACGCACACAGCTGGGAGACCAGGGGACACTAAAGAGTGACGCACACAGCTGGAGACCAGGGGACACTAAAGAGTGACGCACACAGCTACAGTACGCTTAAAGACCTGAATGCAGCTCAGTTCCAAAGCCCCCCTCTTGGCTTGAATCCACAGCCTTACTGATGGCAGGCAGCTTCGTGGAGCAGGTGTAGAATAATAGCCGAGCGTCGAGCCATACATCAAGTCAGCTTTTAGTGCTAAGGACTCTCCCCTACCCCCCCCCCCCCCACAACTCCATTATCTACACCAGGCTGCAGATCAAAGACACACCGGGGGGGGGTTTAAATGCACGCTCCATCACAGGTTACATTGAATACGCCGGAGACGTTTCCCAGCACAGGTCAAGGACGATTCCTCGCAGACATGAATGAAACATCAAAGCTGTTTCTGCATATCTCTCTCTCTCTCACAGAACTCTGCCCCAGAGCTGCTCCCTCTGACACTCACTGAACAGAGGAGGGGTTTAGAATGGGAATCTTCTTTCTTTTATTTAACAATAGTTATTTCCATATAGGCCGACCCTGAAAGCAGCATCTCCCTGGTTCAATGGGATCCCTCCATTCGATTATTGCAGAAAATAATCTCAACGTTTATGATTCTTACACGTTTAGTTCAGCTCCAATCTCCACATACTAACACCACTTTATGATTTCTGAAGTAAGAAGCTAATGTTGGGCTATAAAGGAACTGCAGCACGGTCACATGACTTCACGTCACCACCGCTAAGCTAAAGGTGGCTAATGTTGGGCTATATAGGAACTACAGCACGGTCACATGACTTCACGTCACCACCGCTAAGCTAAAGGAGGCTAATGTTGGGCTATAAAGGAACTACAGCACGGTCACATGACTTCACCACCGCTAAGCTAAAGGAGGCTAATGTTGGTCTATAAAGGAACTACAGCACGGTCACATGACTTCACGTCACCACCGCTAAGCTAAAGGCGGCTAATGTTGGGCTATAAAGGAACTACAGCACGGTCACATGACTTCACGTCACCACCGCTAAGCTAAAGGAGGCTAATGTTGGTCTATAAAGGAACTACAGCACGGTCACATGACTTCACGTCACCACCGCTAAGCTAAAGGCGGCTAATGTTGGGCTATAAAGGAACTACAGCACGGTCACATGACTTCACGTCACCACCGCTAAGCTAAAGGAGGCTAATGTTGGGCTATAAAGGAACTACAGCACATAGGCCTGTCGCGATAATCGATAAATTGACTTATCGTACGATAAATAGAAATGGACTCGATAACTTTTCTGAGCTTGATAAATTGCCGTTTACATGAGGATGTGACCAGCATTTTAGCTAGGAGCGCTGTGGCTGCCAGGCGCGCTATGGCTGCCAGCCACGCGTGCTGTGAGGGGCGGGGCTGACACACAGCCAGGTCAGGACACTCCGCGTGCACGTGCAGCAGCGTAGCAGCCAAATTAATAATATAGCGACAAGCGGGAGACAACGTGTGACTTACTCGCGGGGAATTTAAAGTGAAATGGAATTGGTTACAAAACCTAACTACACATCTCGATTCTCCGGTGTGGCAGTATTTTGGATTTAAGCCAAATCAACGAGGCGAACCTACGGACTTGAATGAGCCGGGCGGTGTGTCGCATTTGTTTAAAAAAGGTAGCGACAAAAGCAGGCAATACCACGCTTTTTAAACTACACCTAAAACACAACCACCCCATTCCGCTTTCCCAGCTGGGAGCAAACACGGCAGCTGGAGATGGAGAGCCCCCACCTTCCCGACAATTTACAATCACAGATGCATTTGCCCAACAATGCAAACATGTTGGTGTTCTGTTGAGGCATCTGGGTCTTTGTATGTACAGTGGACTGTACACTTGACTGTTGTTTTAAGGAGGTTTATTTTGCTTGTGAGACAATGTGTGCTTATATTTATTTATATATATATATATATATATATATATATATATATATATATATTTATAGATAGATAGATAGATTTTTCTTTTTTTATAAATAAATTATTATTTATTATATATCATTTATATATTTTAATATTATTTCACATTTCATTTCCAATGTTGAATGTTCAATGAAAAGTTATGTTTGAAAGGATGTACTTGAATTATTATGATATATTATCATTATGTCAGTGGTCTAAAATGGTCTTACAACAGTGCCGACAATATTATCGTTTATCGCAATAATTTCCAGGAAGATTTATCGTCCAACAAAATTAATTATCGTGACAGGCCTAACAGCATGGTCACATGACTTCACGTCACCACCGCTAAGCTAAAGGTGGCTAATGTTGGGCTATAAAGGAACTACAGCACGGTCACATGACTTCACGTCACCACCGCTAAGCTAAAGGTTGCTAATGTTGGGCTATAAAGGAACTACAGCACGGTCACATGACTTCACGTCACCACCGCTAAGCTAAAGGAGGCTAATGTTGGGCTATAAAGGAACTACAGCACGGTCACATGACTTCACGTCACCACCGCTAAGCTAAAGGAGGCTAATGTTGGGCTATAAAGGAACTACAGCACGGTCACATGACTTCACGTCACCACCGCTAAGCTAAAGGAGGCTAATGTTGGGCTATAAAGGAACTACCAGCACGGTCACATGACTTCACATCACCACCGCTAAGCTAAAGGTGGCTAATGTTGGGCTATAAAGGAACTACAGCACGGTCACATGACTTCACGTCACCACCGCTAAGCTAAAGGTGGCTAATGTTGGGCTATAAAGGAACTACAGCACGGTCACATGACTTCACGTCACCACCGCTAAGCTAAAGGTGGCTAATGTTGGGCTATAAAGGAACTACAGCACGGTCACATGACTTCACCTCACCACCGCTAAGCTAAAGGAGGCTAATGTTGGGCTATAAAGGAACTACAGCACGGTCACATGACTTCACCTCACCACCGCTAAGCTAAAGCGACAGGGGAAGCAAACACAGATATCACAACACATAGCTTTACGGAGCATTCACGGGACATCTCTTACCTTAGCTGTTGTTCTGATCAAAAGTTGTCTTCAATGGCATTAAAACGATAAAAACGCTGCTGAAGGTTAATCCATAGGTTAATCCAATGTGTCTGTGTCCCTTTGAAAAAATTACTGATAATCCATAATTCAATTTTTATGTCAAAAACTGAGTTTTCATATTAGCTGCTAATGATAGCTACCAGAGTGTATGACAGCTTCCTGTTTTGGGCATTCTGGCTGCGCAGCACTCATTCACCAATGGGTAATGTTTAGATGGATTTTAGGAACCTCCCCTCGATTCTATTGGCTCTAACGGTTAAAAAAAGGTGTCAATTATCAAAATCGAACGAGGGGGGCCAGAGATATGGAAAATGCACCCAAATTACCCCAGAAGTGTTTTTTTTTTTGCTAAATCTCTCTAAAAAGGTCACATTTCACTTGTTTTGCATCAATCTTGATACAGGGTACTTATTATATGTTTGGATTCCTAAAGCTTTTAGTCTACCATCCCATCATTCAAGGGTGGTTTTCACTATAAGTAATGGTTTTATTTTTGGACGGACACTAGAATTTACATTTTTTTTACTATGTTCAAT